TTTACAATAGCTAAGATCTGGAAACAGCCCAAGTGCCCATCAGTAGATGAGTGGATAAAAAAAGCTGTGGCACATTTACACCATGGAATACTATGCAGCTGTAAAGAGGAAGGATCTTTTATCCTTTGGCACAGCATGGAGGGAGCTAGAAAGTATTATGCTAAGTGAAATAAGCCAGTCAAAAAAAGACAAGTAGCACATGATCTCACTTATATGTGAAATATAACAAACAAAATAAACTGATGAACAAAGTGGGTCCAGAGACATAGAAACATGGAACAGACTGAGAGATCTCAGAAGGAAGGTGGGGAGGGGTATGAGGGTGGGGAGAGATTAATCAAAGAACTTATATGTTTATAAGCATAACCCATGGATACAGACATTGGTATGGGGAAAGCCTGGGGGTGGGATGGATGTGGGGTGGAGGGGATCAGTGGGGATAAAAAGGGGACATCTGTAATATTCTCAACAATAAAGATAAATTTAAAAAATAAAATAAAAGGTAACTTAAAATTTTCAAGGATAAAATCATACAGAAAAACCCAATATAACAGATATAGGATTTCACTCACTGGGTCACTATCAGAGCCCATCCAACCCAGGAGTCTGTTTGTTTGTTTGTTTGTGTTTTGTTAATGAGTTTGGGGTCCCTTAGTCAAGGAAAATAACCCATGGAGGGGAGTACAATGCCTTGAAAGAGGTGGAGCACTCTTTCTCGGGAACTGTGGGCAAGAGCAAGTTTGATGGAGGATTAGAAGTGGAACCTCAAGCCCAGCCAGGCATGGCTCAGTGGTTGAGCATCGACCTAGGATCCAGAAGATTGCAGTTCAATTCCCATCAGGGCATATGCCCGAGTTGTGGGATCAATCCCCAGTAGGGGGCCTGCAGGAGGCAGCTGATCAATGATGACTCTCTCATCATTGATATTTTTATCTCTCTCTCTCCCTCTCCCTCCCTCTCTCTGAAATCAATAAAAATATATTTTTAAAAAAGAAGTGGCCCCGCCAGGCGTGGCTCAGTGGTTGAGCATTTACCTAGGATCCAGGAAATTGGGGTTCGATTCCTGGTCAGGGCACATGCCTGGGTTGCCAGCTAGATCCCCAGTAGGGGTTGTACAGGAGGCAGCTGATCATTGACTCTCTTATCATTGATGTTTCTATCTCTCGCCCTCTCCTTTCCTCTCTCTGATATCAATAAAGACATATTAAAAAAAAAGAAAAAAAGAAGTGGAACTTCAAAAAACTGTGGTTGACTGGGGTTGCATATCTGACCACTTTTAGAAAGGTCAAGGGATAAAGGAAATAAGTATAGGGACTAGAGTTGGCTCAGAGTTGGTGTTTGGGATTCGCTAACTGGATATACTACCTTTCTGTTCAAGTGGAACACTTACTTAAAAAATGGTTTGGTTCACCAGTAATATATTTTGACAGGGTTTGTTGGAAAGATAAGCTGTGGCTGGTCAGTCGATCTTTGCTCACCTTCTACTACTCACTGAGTCAGCTTTGCCCAAGAGGATTGGATGCCAATAACAGCAGCCTTAGGTTTTGACTTCCTGGTCTCACCTCAAAAGTGTTGTTTTTGGAGTGACCAGATATCATTTCTCAAGGGCTGACACTCTATGGTTCAAAAGGCCTAATGGGAACAGACACTTAACTCTCTCAGCAAACCTGAGGCAAATGCTATCATTGCCCCCATTTTGCAAGTAAATGGAAAGGCAACGATGCAAGCCAGGCAGTCTAGCTTTAAGCCTGAGCTTTCCATCACTGTGCTTACTGCTCCTGTAGGAGGAGATTTTACTTCTTATTTAGTCACAAGTCCTTCTTCCACTCTCACCTCCTTTCTTTTCGCCTAACTCCATCTTTTACTACACTCTAGTTGAACTGTTTTTATCTGAACTATAGTGTGCCTTATTTCAGCTACTTTAAAATGTTTTAAAATAGATCTTTGGGGAACCAGGAACAAGGTGGCGGCGCAGGTAACCGTTGTACCCGCCTCCTCCGGCAATCACATCAAAATTACAACCAAAATACAGAACGACCATCACTCAGAGCCTCCTGAGAGCTGGCTGAACAGAAGCCCTACAAGGAGGGAACTGAAGAAGCAGCAAGACCAGTAGGAGGGGCGGAGACGTGGGCGGGTCGGGGCCGAATCCCTGAGACTTGGCCGCGGGCCCACACCTGGTGCCACGGGGTAAACCCAGGAGGGACATCTCGGCTGTGGAGGTTTCCTGGAGGAGTGAGGGGTCCCAGCCCCACAGCAGGCCCCCAGCCCAGGGCTCCAGGGCGGGAAGAAAAGTCCCCACAACTTAGGGATGTAAAAACCAATAGGGACTGTCACTGGGGGACGTGGAGGCTGCGGGAGCCCCAGGCTTTCCTTTTAAAGGGCCTGCGCCGGGACTCACTCCAACATGCTCCCTCAGAGCCCCAGTGCTGGGCAGCAGCTTGAAAGGAGCTGGGACACTCGGGGAGAAACTAACTTGCCTGAAATCAGGCGATAGGTGGAGGGGCAGCTTCCTCCCAGGCAGAAGAGCTGGCAGAGGCCATGGCTCCTTTGGCGAGCCCTCCCCACACACAGCTGGCGGGCAGGTACCATGTTTGAATCACCAGCATCTGACTCACACCTTTGGCTCTGCCCCGGTGATTCCCGGAGGCCCCACCCCTCCCCTCCCCACCTGCAGGCTCATCCAGGCCATTTCCAGTGGCTTCTCTATGCAAGTGGCCTCTCGAGCCTCATGCTTAGGACTTTTCTAAAATCTCTCAAACAAGAAGCAGTGTGCCCCATACAGCTTGATAAGTGGCCCCAGGCCTGGCTAGTGGCAGCCTGCATTGGTTCATAGCTTGGCCTCTCCTGGACACCTCCACGCCCAGCATAAGTAGCAGCCAACTACAGTTTGCTGTGTAGCTCATGCTGGGTGGCCCTGGGCAAGGCACAGGCAGAGACTGACTTTGCACCTCCCGGGAGGCCCCAGAGACTGTGCACTTGGTGGCCAGACTCAACTACGCTGGATTACAACCCTACCACACCCATGAGTGACACACTCAAGGAGGGCACTTGGTGAACACCAAAGCCCCACTGAAGTAAATCCTGTTCCATAGGGGTGTCTCCAGCACAGCAGTTCTTTGGCTGTAGTGGCAGCTGGTCCTTACAGCCGATTGACCTGGGGGTCAATTCCTCCCAGTGATGCCAACAGCAACTAAAGCTCGACTACAACAGGATAGTGAACACAGCCCCCACAGGGGAGCACCTAGAAGGCCCAGCTCAGGTGACTGGGGAGGCCGAGCCACTGGACCCTCCAGGACACCTACTACACAAAGCCACTCTACCAATTCCAGGAGACATAGCAGCTCTACCTAATACATAGAAACAAACACCTGGAAGCAGCCAAAATGTGGAGGCAAAGAAACATGTCACAAAGGAAAGAACAGAAGCAATCTCCAGGAAACAAACTAAATGAAATAGAACCAAGTAAGCTACTAGATACAGAGTTCAGAATTATGGTTATAGGGAT